TACCGCCGAAAAGTCGGCGATATACTATAGAAGCTAATAGATACTAGGCTATAATATAATATTACGAAGTCGGAGTTCGAATAGGACTTAGTGAAATATCTTAGCTTCGTCGTCGAAGCTAGAAAGGGGATTTACGTTAACCTAAAGAAGGTAGAAGCTATTAGAGTATAAGAGAGACCGAAGTCTATACGGGATATACGAAGCTTTATTAGGTTTACGAACTTCTACCGGCTATTTATACTAGGATTCGCCGACCTTTCGGCACCGTTAACACGGCTAATGAAGAAAGACGCTATATTTAAATAGAACGACGATTGCTAATAGGCCTTCGCGGAACTAAAAGAGCTATTTATAAACGCACTAATCTTGGTATATTTCGAAGAGGATCGCTAAATAGTCGTGGAAACTAATACCTCCGGCTAGGTAACTAGCGCGGTTCTATCGTAATATAGACTGGACGGATAGCTATAGCTATACGTCTATCTATCTTAGAAGCTATCTCTAGTAGAATTAAACTACGAGATCCACGATAAGGAGCTTTTAGCGATTATACGTACTCTACGCGAATAGAGATCCGAGCTAAAAATAGTGCCTCGATTTACTATCGTGACGGATTATAAGAACCTTCGATACTTCGGAAAAGTATAATATCTTAACGAACGGTAGATATGATAGGCAGATCTCTTAATATAGTTTAACTTTAACCTCCGTTATCGCCCTAGTAAGCTTACGGTAAGGCTGGATATACTATCACGACGGAGTTAAGATATACTTAAGAGTATCACTAACGAAAGGCTATCGAACCGCTTCTGAGTCTTACTTAAAAGGGTTAAGATTAAAACGGGACGACTAGACCCTTAACTAGCCGAAGATCGACCTAGCGAGGAGGTCGATTTCGAGAAGGATATACCCCTCTTCGAAGAAGAAGAGCTTTAGGTAGAATAGAAAAGGGCGAGGGCGTCCGACTCGATCTACTAACGAATCTCCTACGCTTTACTAATAGGGGAGCGCCGAATCGCTACCGAGATAAATATTAAGATAAGCCTATCGGAGTGCTATTTAGACGATTAGGGGGTACTCTATTTTAGATAATAGATCTAGATTCCCGATAATAAGGTCTTACGTACGGGGATTATATAGAAGGTCCACGATTTACACGTTACGGCGTATCCTAGGCGAGACGCTACCTATTCGATACTATCTCGACGGTTCTTCTAGCTAGGAGTAGTAAAGGATATACGACGCTTTCTACGTAATTATATAATCTACGGACGGAGCTTAGTATAGCGAGACACGAAGTATAGACTATTAAAGCTACTACCGATTCTATAGCGAATCTAGGCCGAGATATTAGTGGACTTTATTACCGGGCTACTACCCTCCGGCCCTATAGGAGCGACGAATTATATAGTTATAACTAACCGGTTAACGAAGAGCGTAGTTCTAATCGGAATAAAGAATACGACGGTAGAAGATATAGCGGAGATGTTCCTTATACACTTCTATATATATTATAGAGTACCACTAACGATTATAAGGGACCGTGGCCCCTAATTTATGAGTTCTTTCTAGGAAAGGGTATACGAAAGGCTATCGATTTAACGCTAATTATCCACCGCTTTTCACCCCTAGACCGACGGCGTAATAGAGCGTACTAATCAGGAGATCGAACGAATTCTACGTATGTTCACGACGTACGCACAGGATAACTAGAAGGATCTACTGCTAATAGTTACTATAGTAATTAATAATCGTAATACTACTTTAACCGGAATCTCGCTATTCTTCTTCACCTACGGCTATCACGTCGACCCGATTAGTATCGACGAAGTAGGGTAACTAGAAGACGCCCTAACACCACCACGAAAGGTAGGCGAAACGTTCGTGAATCGCCTTCGGGAAGCCACCGATTAGGCCTAGGCCGCTATAGCTTCTGCATAGGCCCTTCAAGAAGAATAAGCGAACCGGCGCCGATAGGCCGCGCCTATATATAAGAAGGATAACTAGGTCTAGTTAAATCTTCGGAATATACGCACTTAACGACCGTCTAAGAAGTTAGATTAGCTATATGCTCGATACCGAGTAGTAAACGTTCCGTCACCGTTCACAGTCCGACTAGATATACCCACTAGTATATACCTAGTGTTCTATATTAAGTTAGTTCGTCCGGTAGCGACGGATCTATTCCTATCTTAGCTAGTGGACGATCTATAGCCACCGCTATTACTAGTTAATAGAGAGGAGGAATACGAGGTTAAGTAGATCTTAGCTATCCGACGGAGGAAGATTAGGCGAGGATATCGTGACGAAGTACTAGTGAAGTGGAGAGGATAGATAGAGCAGACGTAGGAAACACTAGATTTAGTGCGGGATTATAGCGCCCTAGATACCTTTAAGGAGTAGCACGGTACTGTTTCGGACGTGATTCGTTAGTAAATTGGCACCGAAGCCTATATCGTCGTGCCCCTAACGAGACTAAGACTAGGAGGGGGGTATTATCACGGGCTAGTGCCCGATATAGGTTACGTGTATCACGAGACCTTGGCATATTAACGTAGGGAACGCGCGAGATGAACTTCTTCTCCTTAAGCTTTTTATAAATAGTATATTAGCCTAGTTAGATTAAATCAAGTCTTACTTTAGCCCTTCACATACATAAGCAAAGATTTAAGCTCTAGGTATTATCTTCTCCGACGACGCAGACGCTCTTCTTAATATATACGGGGGGATCTTTAAGGATTTAATTAGCCTACTCTGTCTCTGGTATATCATGAAGAACATTAAGACCCGTGTTCGGCTAATTATTTCGAATTAAATAACGGACCTTCCTAATCTAGAAGGTCAATAGAAGACTATTAACGAATAGCGATCTGTGAAGGCTAAATTTATGTAAATTATCCTCGAGCCTACCGAAGATAGGATAGAAGCAAGAAAAGCCTTATTTATAGAAGCCCTTAGCGATCCGATCTACTAATTAGTAATCGATTATATCGAAAAGTAGTGGTTTAGTAATAGGGTAAAGCGATTTATACGCTACTATCTCACCGGAATTCTCTATTATAATAAGCTTACTTCCTCTCGCGTAGAAGGTACGTATCATTAGATCAAGAAGGAACTCCGAAGCTTAACTAGCGATATCCTTATAACTATATAAGTCGTCTCTCGAGTCGTTTCCTATATAAATTTATAGGCGTTTAACTTAATTTAAGACGAAATTTATCGTTACCCCGTCGATCTTTAAGTCCCACTTTTCCGTAATATCCTTAATTAGATCTTAAGAAACGTAATCCGAAGGGTTTATAACACTTAGTAGGAATACCTTCGATTAGAGAAGCAGAAGTTACTACCCTCTTATACCTAATACCACATAAAATCTCTTAGTCTCCTATATAATTATGTAATTAAAGACCTAAAAGATAGTGGTAAATCCCTTCTCCTATCCTATTTTAACTAATAACACTAGCTTCGCCTGCCGAATCTAATTTAGACTAATTAGTAGCGAATTAGAAGGGTAGGAAGGGTAGGAAGGCTTCGAATTAATAAACCGAATCGGGTAAAGGGGGTTAGACGGCCGAAGTTACTAGAGACTATAAAGCGTTAGCGAAGATAGGGGGGGAGGAATTTTACCGGTCGGGATTATAGGCTTGAGCGAAGGAAAAGTACTTACGTTTCTATGGATAAAACTATAGGAATTATGGTACCACCGCCTTCAAAGAGAACCAACACATCGACAAGGCGAATACCATCAAACTAGGAGACGAAACTTCGGTAAGGGCGTGGGGCTGGCCGCGGTTACAAGGCTAAGAAATTGGTAACAGCAAAGAAAGAATTAAAGAGAAGGGCAAGGCAGATTACTAAGTATCGATTCGGTAACTAGTAAGGGGTGAATTAGCAGTATTAGATAGAAGGGTTTAAATTGAATTAGTGTGTAGGTCATATGATAGGCCTAGTAGTAGTAGAAGATAGAAGAGAAGGTAGAAAGGATGCGTGTATGTAAGAAGGAAGGGGGTGGTTAAATTCGTAATTAACAGGCGTGAAAGGCTTGGTAGTAATCAGGCCGAAATCAGGCCCCAGGTGGTGCCGCTAGCCTTTTGAGGTGGTGCCCCCAGCCTTCCCCTTTTCAAAGTGGTTATCCGCTCGACCGGGTTATCCGCTCGGGCGGGAATTACGTTAGTTATATGTGGCTTACGTCAGTGTATGATGCTGATTTGTTGGAAAACCCCTCCAAGTCCTCCACCCCACCTAGCATCTCACGCGTTCTATCTTCTTCGTCAATCAGTGAAGCTCTACGTCTCCGTCTCACTTGAAGGCTTGTTCGACTGGTCACTGTAAGCTCAACGTCTGGGGATTCTACGGGGGTCCTACTGCGGCTCCTAAGAGTATCTAGCAACCGTATACCCTTACATGGGCTCGGGTCCTTTTGAGTATCTTGCAGGACGTACCGAAGGACGCGGCAACACCCTCCATGTATTTTGAGAAGTATCCCAATCTCATGCTCCGTTTCTCGTTATACAGAGGATTATTTATCACAGCTGTTTGATGCACCCAGCCCGCGTATTCTTTCTCATAACTGGCGTGGGGTTACCACTCCAATGTGGAGAAAGGGATAACAGTGACGGACCAATCAGGAGCTTCCTATTTACCTTCAATGGTGTCTCAGTGGCTCTAGCCTTCATGCTAGCTTCTATACTGTTCGACAACAGCGTCACAAAGTTTATCAACGATACTACTGCCTAGCAGTCAAGCGATACCTACATCCCTACATTCATACAGGTGACGGAAGGATGGTTCATCCAGCCAACCTGATGAAGTCGCACTGGCTGGAAAAGGTGTTTCAAACAATAGTGAGAGGAACAACACCTCTCCGGAGCAGCAGCCGCAAGGCAACAGAAAGGCGACTACAAGTATATTTGCTTCAACACCACTCGCTTACCAGTCTGTTACGGACTCGAAGCAAGGCAACTCGGCAGCAAATTCGGTGCAGCAAGAGTAGCTTTGCGATGGGGAACGATGGAGCCGAAGATATCCCTGCCGATTCCGCTCGTCTTTGGCGCAAAGAAAACAAACAACCGCAAATATCTCTCTATCCGAACCAGGGAGCGTTTGACGATGCCATCCACATGCCCACTCCTTCCGCCTATTTGACTCCCCCTGGACTAGCAATATCCAACAACAAACTCTCCCATCCGACACCAATCCCTGACAATTATTATTTCGATACTTATTCTTTAGTTCGCAATATCTCAAAGGGCGGCTTTACAGATGATCAATCAGTCACGATCATGGAAGCCATCGAACATATTCTAGAGAACAACATCGACTTCACAGAGCAATGCCTGACGTCCAGATACAATTTTGACAACGACTCTTATCTGTTCAAGGAAGCCTGCTCCCAACTCCGATCGTCCATACAGTCAGCCCGTGATTTGGAAGCGGAAAGACAACATGCTTCGCGGATACAATTGCAGCACGAATTTAATATGCTCTCGCAGCGTCTCCATCAGGAAATGACGGAAATGAAGGATAGTATTAGGGGTATGTTAAATGACCACAGTATCACAATCCGAGAGTACCAGCGTAATATCGACACCTTGCTCCAGGAGCTCAATTACAAAATTAATGTGTCGCTGAATGGGGACGGGAAGGCCGCAATCGAGAGTATCAGATGGATTTTGACAAGTCGCGCTGCTCTTACTGTTGCGACTTGTGCCTGTAGGTCTAACGTGTCCCCAACAAGATGTGAACGCTCAAAATTGACTGTATCCTTTCATCAAGTGATGATCGTCTTCGTCCTGAAGTTCTATTCCGTCCGCATGCAAGATTCAGAGCGCAATATAAAAAATCAAGAAGAGAATCAGCTGAAAAGCCACGTCTCAACCGAAGTGTGCAAGACTCTCTTTACTGCCATCCGATAATTATCCTTGCTGATCAAGTTGTCTGCAGCGGTACTGCGGGGCTGCGATATAGAGATAATCGCAGAATTCTCGAGCAGCTTAGTGTCTCATATCGTATTGAGCTGAAACCAACTCAGAACTCATCACATCGCCACCATCTTCGTCCTCAAAATACGAATCTTTCAATGTGTATTTGATGCATGGTTGCAAGCTTAGGAATATATAGGTAGAGAGTACTTCGTGGCCCAAATCTCGGCTTTCTAACTTCATGAATCACCGCATAAGCCGGCTTTGTGTTTTGCAGATCACGCCTCTATAATTGTCAGCAAAAAATACATTCGAATCAATCTCCTGCCCCTCCAACTTGGTTTAATATGCCAGAGTCCATTCGATAACTACTTACCTGAGGATATACTATGTTGCCAGATCAATCAATTCCCTCCGGTTAGTTATAGATTACGTCATACTCCCAAAGGGTTGAAAATGACGAATGCGTGACGAACATAGACACGCTTTTTGTGCATTGTTCACTATTAACACTGAATATAAGAGATTCAATCCCCGATCAGCTTTTTTCACCGTCTACGAATATGCTCGATCAAGAAGAGGATCCGAATGATTTGAGTGGATCCAAGTCGGTAGTGGGAATACCTAGCATCTAACACTGTCGGTCGATTGGCCACACTGGCAGAATTTCCAATGGCAGGGGATTTAACAACCCAAACATCCCAGGTGAGGTAATAGGCCCCGATCAACCTCTTATTGATCGAGATATTAGCCGCGACCAGTCCGGCAAAGCGATGCACAATGCTAGAGGTGATCCAAACAATGACCTGGCCAGTTGCTGCTGGACCTCAAGCGTAAGTGCGGAAATCAAGGGTAGCGGCAACAATGATGTTGTACGGCTAACACATGTGATTCAAGTGCCCAGAATAAATCCGGTGTAACCGATGTGGACAAGAAGGCATATGAAGACTTGATTTGGATGGGTGGTGAAGCTCCTGAAGGATGAAAGGGTCACATCTCACTCACGTGAGTAGGAATGCCAGCCAATGCAGATACATTAAAATGTTACTACAATCGTGGTGTTGTTATTTATGTCGGCATTAAAGAAACCCGTACGTTTTAGTGTGCGTAACGCCTGTCCCACAAACCCCGGAGCGAGAGATCGAAAAGTCTCAAAATAGATCTGAATCTTGGTCCTAATAGACATCATGTCGAGTTCCTCGCCCTCTGTCAATTCAAATGTTGATTGATTTTGAGCGATCCAGACGAACGAGACATGCTAAACCAGTCGTCTTTAAGCTGATATATTATCAATTTTCAATTCCTTTTCTCTGACACCCTGCAATGCACACAATCGGAACTCTACTCGATAGATTCGCGAAGTCACAGTCCATGCGGATCGAGGTTGGATGAGATATCAACTGGAAGAGTGGTGTATTGGGCCGTATTCAACCTCTGGTTAAAAATGGGTACGGGAGGTGGTGGGGGCCAGAGAGCGTATCCCAAGGATGACCACGGACGATGGAAGAAATGACGAGATAAACGAGAAAGCCGAGGATTGAATGAAGTGGTCGATTCTTTCGGGATGGACCGGCATTTCTGCTATTAGGACGCAGTCGACAAAAGGCAAGCGGGAAATCTTGACTGTTAAGAGATTCGGACCATGGACAACAAGGAAATTGATACATCAACCTCCGATAAGGGTCTAGGTCCAGCGTGGTTTCTTACATCGGCTGGTAACTAGACTGACCTTCCAATACCACGGAACACCATTGAAATATAGCCACAACATGATATCATTATGATGTAACGTTCAGCGTGCCGTTGTCCAATAAGGAGACTGCGTTGATAGAGGGAAGGCAAGGGAAAAAGGCAAAAAGCGAAGAAAAGAATGGACAATGGGCCATGCGCCAAGAAAGTGTCTAGCACACTACACATGCAAAAATGCCAGGGGTAATCTTCATAGCGAGGGTCCTTAAAAAAGGTAATTTTTGAAAGGGGCCGGTTACATTCCATTGATAGAGCAAAGCAAAAGTAAATCTTTTCCGTGTCTCATCTTACAGGCGCACCCAACGGGCCATCATAGATTTGACCATTGCAACATATTCCATATCATCTCATAATACAAAACATTCAAGAGCCAAGGCGGTGATCCAAACGAATTCAACGCTTCTCATAACGGTTTGCCATGTCTTTATTATGGCGTTTGACATCTTTTGATTTGGATTTAGGGTCCAATTCGCCACCCTCGGTATTGGGCCCTTCACGGTGCATTTTGAGGCTGTAGTATTCATCATGTTCTTTAGCTCCGTCTGTTGCGCTGGGCTGTGGGAGTTCTAAAGTATTAGATATTTCGTCAGCAACAATAATACAATACGATTATATAAGATCCATAATGCAGTAACCAATAAGTAGAGGTATTATTACCTTTGCTGTTTGAATATTCCTCGTTTGAATCGGCGTCCAGCGGCCTTTCGGTATCGTTCTCACGAACCTCTGCCTTGTTCGCCAGACGCTTGGCTTGAATAAAAATAGCCATTCCTGCAGGGCGGGCCATATTGTGTTGACAGCAGCAACAGATCAAAAAGCTTGTTCGCGCGCATCGTGTAAGACTCATTTGGTTTAGGCTCTGCATTGTGACAATGTGGACAACAGCATGCTGCCGAGATACGGAATGGAAAGAATTTATTTTAGACTGGAGCTTGGCCTTGGCTGTGGCAAAGCTTAGCTCTGGTAGCTTGCGTGCGCTGATCATATGATGTTCGGATGTAAGTAAGATTTACAAACCCATCCCACCCAAGTTACGACCAGCCCTTAGCTTCTGTCGCCACTAATACAGTTCTAGTGCAATTCTCCAGAGTATGCGTCATTACAGGGCATAAGTTAAGCTCATATACTGCGTGGAATACCTCCCAATGATGCTCCTTGAGCAACTAAAGCAACTAACTAGCCAACTGAGATAGCAAAATTCATGATGAACCTGGCAGGGTAAGGTAACTGGTTATACAAGCTGAAATATCCTACCGAAACCCCTAATATTAGTCAGGGCTCTTAGAAGCAAAGTACTGCCGTCTCCACCTACTAAGTTAAGCAGCTAATCTTACTAATCACTTTTGGTGCTGGGTCTAGCCTGATTTCTAATGGCGCAGCGACAGACGCTGCTCTCCTTGATGCCGAGAATGGGGGTGTTTGGGCGATTTCGCCTGGCTATATGGTACTTTGATCTAACTGAGCATGTCGACCTTTGTGTGCACTGGAGTTAATGAGATAGATAGGTCCACCAAGGCGAACTCCATGATCTTATAGATCTCTTCAGGAACCCTAGCTCTGCTTCTGAACAAGGCATCGTTGTGGATGGCAAAAACTACATGTGCATCCAAGCCGATGACAAGTTTATATATGGGAGAATGGTAAAATCAGACTTTGGATCTTCATTTATCCGACATTATACTAATTATACATGTCTAGAACATGACAGGGGTTGTTTGTGCTAAAACAGACAAGTTGATCATCCTAGCTTACTATGATGAGAACAAAATGCCCGGAGAAACTGCTCTTGCGGTTGAGAGAACAGCCGACAAGTTCAGAGAGCTAGGGTAATAGCTACTAACATAAAAGTTCATGTCATCTAAGGATAGGGTATTAGTTTCAGAAGTCTTCCGTAAGGGTGAAGTAGACTACGAATTTCGAAAACTAAATAGCTGCGTTAAAAGGTTATTTGAATGTATACGAGGATACCGTAGAGGATTTGATATAAGTTTCATATTTTCCCCTAGAAGTATAGACAAATCTCGAGTGCTAAGGTAGCGGAATGTATTTAATCAAGCTGATCCAGGCCTATTCCCGGCTATCTGAATAAAGGTGCAAAGATCGCGAATAGAAATCTTCCAGGAATCAAGCATCAAACGAAAGATATTCAACGGCGAGTAGTGCTCTAAGAATAACTCACGGTCTATGAGAAAGCTTTATTGAAGGCGACAATGACCTCTATAATTTGAGCTTCTAGGTCATTGCTTAATTTGCCTTCATCTTCGATCCTGGAGAGCATCTCTGGCTTGTTGTGTCTGCAGTGGGCGAGAAACTCAGCTTCCCAATCTATAATCCTGTTGACAGGTATATTATCAAGAAGACCATGAATACCAGCATAGATCAAGGGTACCATCTCATTGACAGCCATAGGAGCGTACTGCTTTTGTTTTAAAAGCTCCATCAGACGCTCGCCACGTCGAAGAGTTTGCTTCGTGGCGGCATCCAGATCCGAACCTAGCTGAGAAAAGGCCGCAACTTCGCGATATTGGGCCAAAAATAGCTTGAGGGAACTGGCAACTTGTTTCATTGATTTGAGTTGCGCAGCAGAGCCAACACGAGACACGGAAAGTCCAACATTGACCGCAGGACGGATGCCCTTATAGAAGAGTTCGGATTCCAAAAATATCTGCCCGTCTGTGATGGAGATCACATTGGTAGGGATGTACGCAGAAACATCACCGCCCTGAGTCTCAACGATAGGAAGGGCGGTAAGAGAGCCGCCACCATGCGTGTCGTTCAATTTTGCTGCACGCTCCAAAAGACGTGAATGGAGGTAGAAAACATCTCCAGGGTAAGCCTCACGGCCAGGGGGCCGGCGAAGCAACAGCGACATCTGACGGTAGGCCACTGCATGCTTCGACAGATCATCATACACGATAATAGCATGTCTGCCGCTGTCTCGAAACCACTCCCCCATAGCACAGCCAGCAAAGGGAGCAAGATATTGTAGAGGAGCAGCTTCCGAGGCTGTAGCTGCGACAATGATCGAGTATTTCATGGCATCATTTTCTTCAAGAGTCTTGACAAGCTGGGCCACAGTGGAGCGCTTCTGGCCGATAGCGACGTAAATACAGTACAGCTTGTCGGATTCAGCGGAGGAGCTATTCCACCTTCTCTGATTTAGGATAGTGTCCAGAGTGATGGCCGTCTTCCCAGTTTGACGGTCCCCAATGACCAGCTCACGCTGACCACGGCCAATTGGCACCATAGCATCAATCGCTTTTATACCAGTCTGAACGGGTTGGTTGACGGAATGGCGAGGTAGAATACCAGGAGCCTTGAGCTGAGCCCGCCGCTTCTCGGTAGTTTTGATGGGCCCTTTGCCATCGATTGGACTTCCGAGTGCGTCAACCACTCGTCCCAGCATCTCAAGGCCGACGGGAATATCAACAATCTCGCCAGTCCGCTTGACAGTATCTTCCTGTTTGACAAGGCGATCCGAACCGAAGAGCACGATACCGACACGAGCAGCTTCCAGGTTCATGCACATACCCTTTACACCGGACGGAAATTCGACCAGCTCTTCAGCTTGAATATTGGTTAATCCACGGGCGCGAACGATACCATCGCCAACAGACAAAACTCGGCCTGTCTCTGTTAACTTAGTATCCTCCTCAATGTCGTGTATTCGGCGTTCCAACGTTGAAGAGACTTCAGTGGACCCAGCCTTGGGGTTGATGGCATATGAACGAAATTGCTTGTGAAATTTCGTCCAACCTGGTGTTGAGCCATAGAATGGCCTGCCGATTTTAAGGACAGAAGCACCATCGACGATGCGATGAAGTAGCCGCGAGGTGGGTTTGGGCATATCGAGCTAAATTCCACGATGTTAATGATGAGACCTCGCAGAAGTCGGAGAAAAGACGAGGTTAACAAATCCCTAAATTATGACTTAACTATGACTATGGCTATGAGAATTAACTTCCCAGAAAGTCAACTTACCTGTCTATGTTCCGACATACTTTGTCTTGAGTCCGTCCAGCCTTTGTTAGCAGTGGGGTAAGCTATGGTAGAATTTGTCTGCGATAATGACCGTACACACATATTGTGAACTAGTATGTAGGTAGTGACGTATAAGACTAGCAAAGTCATATGACTGACTGCCATAGTTAATTAGTTGCATTGTTCTTAACCCGGGGGTCCAGAGGTTCCTTGGCGTGCACACAACCGCTACAACCAATGAATCCGCCTGGCCCACCGCAAGGGTGACGTAATGGTCATTCCAACATTGGACAATAAATCACAATATATCATACGAGATTCTGACGGTATCCAGTACGTAAGAAGGAATCTCCGATGGCATCCAAAGTGGATTATCTAGAGCTTGAAAATGGACGGCACGGCTCAGTGTTCTCTGTTTCGGGACCTGTCATCATCGCGGAGAGCATGAGAGGCTGCTGTATGTACGAACTTGTGAGTATAACGGGGCCAGCTTGAGAATAATTCTCCTGATTGCTTTTTCCATAGTGCCGAGTAGGGTACGACCAATTAGTGGGAGAGGTCATCAGAATAGAGAGAGACAGGATTACTATACAAACCTTCGAGGAAACAAGTACGTGTTTACAAAGTTTTGCTCAGCTACACCCGCTAATACGGCCAAAAATCGCAGGTGGTATAGCAGTCGGCGATCCTGTCATTGGCACAGGACAGCCCCTGGCTGTCGAACTAGGGCCTGGATTGATGGGCACAATCTACGACGGAATCCAAAGACCGTTGGAAGCTATATCGTCCCTGGCAAAAACCATCTACATCCCATGTGGCATTAATGTCCCGTCGCTCAACCGTGAAAAATCCTGGGATTTCAAGCCGGGAACTTTCAGAGTGGGAGATCACATCACAGGCGGCGATATCTGGGGAAGTGTCATCGAGAATAATTTACTTGATGACCACAAAATCATGCTTCCGCCGCGTGCGGGGGGACAGATTACTCGAATAGCAGAGTCGGGTAGCTATAAAGTCACAGAGAAGCTTTTGGCAGTTAAGTTTGACGGGAAAACCACAGAGTATAGCATGATGCACGTTTGGCCGGTGCGTGTTTCTCGGCCGGTTGCTGAGAGATTGCGCTGCGATGCTCCATTACTCACTGGACAGAGGACCCTAGATGCTCTCTTCCCATGTGCCCAGGGCGGTACAGTATGTATCCCCGGTGCGTTCGGAAGTGGCAAGACCGTCATCAGCCAAAGCATTTCCAAATTCTCGAACAGCGATATTGTCGTGTATGTTGGCTGTGGGGAGCGTGGTAATGAAATGGCTGAGGTCTTGATGGAGTTTTCTATGGTATGTTGGGGATCCGGCACGGACGTTGATTTTAAGGATCTAATTTGAAACCCAGCAGTCAATAAAGCTTGAGGGGAAATCAGAGCCTATACTGGAGCGAACTTGCCTCATCGCTAACACCTCTAACATGCCTGTCGCCGCTCGTGAAGCTTCCATCTACACTGCTATCACTATCTCGGAGTATTTCCGTGATCAAGGAAAAAACGTAACGTTGATGGCCGATTCTACCTCTCGTTGGGCTGAAGCCTTACGTGAAATATCTGGTCGCCTAGGTGAAATGCCTGCGGATCAAGGGTTCCCTGCGTATCTAGGATCCAAGCTGGCTTCGTTCTATGAACGTGCTGGACGGATCGTGGCTCATGGCAGCCCGAAAAGAAAGGGTAGCGTTAGTATTATCGGTGCGGTGAGCCCTCCCGGTGGAGACTTTTCAGACCCCGTCACTAGCTGTACTCTTGGCATTGTTCAGGTATTTTGGGGCCTTGATACAAAGCTAGCACAGAGAAAGCACTTTCCATCCGTCAACATCGCGTTATCCTACAGCAAATACCTAGCAGTATTGGATGAATACTACGAGAAAGAACAGCCTGGCTTTCCGCAGCTGAGGGACAAGATAAAAGAGCTTCTCTATTCCTCTCACAACTTGAAACAGCTCACACAGCTGGTCGGGAAGGCTGCACTCGATGACCACGACAGGATAACACTCGATGTGGCTTCACTGGTTGAAGAAGACTTTCTACAGCAGAACGGATACAGTGAGTATGACGAGTTTTGCCCTTTATGGAAAACTAAGTATATGATGAAAGCTTTCATGCGTTTCCATGATGAGAGCCAACGAGTCATATCTGAGGGTCATAACTGGGCAAAAATCAAACAACTCACCGGTGGGATTTTAAGCACACTCCGAAATATGAAGTTTGAGATGCCTGATGATGAGGACACTGTGTCAGTTAAGGTGAGGAGCGCCCGAAGTGCTTTATTAATTTAGCCTGACACCTTAACAGTACAATAATTTCCTGCGAACAATGTCAGAAAAGTTTGTCTCCATTTCCAACCAGTGAGAGTGCCCACAGAGAAATGGATGCCGATACCTAATTTCCTGATATTTCAATCTATGTTGCAACTCCACGGATTCACCAATTCATTTACTTCATTATAAGCTCAGTCGAGCCTTCCCAACCAACACTAGGCAGATTCACCGAAACAAAAGCCCGTTGCCTTTGGGAACAGCGTTGAGACCGACATCAGCTAGCTAAATAGACTTCCCGCTACTTTTGAAAAGAGTATTGTGCACTAGGCTGAAGCTCTTTAATCAAAACAGCTTGAATACGACCACCATAATCAACAGATGAAACGATAATTAGTCACCAAACAAATTGATATCCCTAATCTGCTTTCCTAGAGGTCTTAATGAATACCTCGTGGTCCCTGGGATTCGTTTTTAATTCCTTGTCGTTCAGAATTCTGTATGCGACCTGATGGTTAGGGCTTGTCTTCAAGAGCAAGGTATTAAGTATTGGTATCGGCATCGGTAATGAATATGAAGAATGATTGGCGAGATAAAGGAGAAATTAGTACTCACGACACTCTCCTGAATTTCTCCTTTCTCCAAAATGTGAAATATGACCTCTTGGTCATTGGATGTTCCGAACTCGCTCTCAAGAGTATCCCTGCTGGCTTCGTTATGCATCCCTTGAGGACCATGTCTGCAAGGTTGCAAGGTTCCATTAGCACATAGCCTTGCGTGCGCCTATAAGGTGCTCATTACTAGGGCGACAGATATTTCCTGAGCTCGGATAATGAACGTGGATAAATGAAAGCAGGCACCTACTGATGTGAGGTAAATATCTTCCACCCATCCATCACCTGCGCAAGTGAGAGTGTATGATCTTTCTTCCAGTTCTGCACCGCGGTAATATCCTCAACGAAAATAACGAAGTCTTCGGTCCGGCCCTTATAGTAAACCTTGGACTGCCTTGTATTCCCTCGGGTCATTCTGAATGGTGGTGGTGCAATTTTGTATCCGCTGTAACAAAGACTTGTTGCGATGGATAAGTAGTGCGGAAAGATTGAGAAAGACAACGCTCACGCAAATCCTTAGAACGCAGCGAAAATTAGTCGAGAAATATAAGGGTGGCAACATTGACAGTTTTCGATTGGCCTTGTTGTCATGATGACGAAACGAACAATTGTGGCATTGATTCACCACAACGTAAGAGGTATTACATGTAAAATACTGTAATTTATGTCCTGCAATGACGAGATGTCTAATCTTGTGCTGCGGCTACTCCAAATATAGACTAATCTGTTTCAGGTCGCCCTTTCCCGTGATTCCAAGCTCCTCGCCTCAGGTTCGGTCGATGAGACCATCAAGTTATGGGATACAAGCAGCGGGAAATGCCTCTGGACCCTCGAGGCCAATAGCAGCCTGGTTAGCCAGGTCACCTTCTCCCGTGATTCCAGGCTCCCTCGCCTCGGCTTCAGTCAATTCCATATCAGAAAACTCTCAGCTAGTATGTCGCCAATGCTACAGTACCCGATGGAAAGTCCACTAACGCCTCCAGAATTCATATTATCCAATCCCGAAGCTAGTAACGGATCAAGATCTTGAGGTAGTTTGACGCGCATGCACTACTCGGGGATGTCACATATGGATCAGGAGAGCAAATCAAGACCGAGAAGATGACGAGACTAAGAGACTCCCTATCCCACTATTCTGACTGGGAGCTCGTTACATCCCTGATATCTACATCCTTGATGACCTATACTTTCTAAGTATAGCGTCTCTCTCCGTGTTTCTTGGATGACCCCTATTATACCTTGAATCGTCTCCCATGATAGACCTCAAGCGAACTCCCTCGATAGAGAATAAAGCTGTAATCTGTCTGCTTCCTTCTCGCTCCTGGTCATGATTTCTTAAGAGAGTGCACTCCTTTGCCCGTTAGCTTTCTTTTTCTTTTTCTTCGCCTGGAAAGAGCTAAATGGTGAAGTGCCACGGAAGTAGAAGCCAGGTGAGAGCTGTGAACGCATGAAATGTACGCTATCTAGAAAATCGTGAGTGGCGCACGGAAAGGGAAGCTAGGTGAGAGCGGAAAGGGAGAGCTGTCCAGGCATGGTATATACGCTTTCAAGAAACCGTGAGGTGGTACAAGAGAGACAAGAGACAGAAGTCATGCACGGGATGCAATTTAGCGTGCATCTTTCAATCACCTTTTCGCATCTTATTATTTCTTCTCTCCCCTGCTCCTTCTTTCTCACCACCCTTCCCCTATGCGCGCTTTGCTGGTGAACACTTTTGCTACTGATCTAGTTCACCCTCCTCCCACCGTATTTGCCTCCGAAGCCAAATAGCCGATCCCTTGCGGTCTCTACTGGAGTGCGGTCTGCGCTGCCTTCCTCCGCCTGGCCTCGTTTCGGCTCGGTTTTCCTCATTGCAGTTGAGATAGGGCGTTTTTGCCCTTGATTCGCAACCTCACACGTCAATTGATCTGCCGATCGTCGAACCTTGGCGCCTCCAGGTGCTTTCAGACTTTGCTTCTGGACTATCGGGGCTGTAAAAGGGCCTTACATCTGCCCCAGGGGCACAAGGCTTCGGCAAGGGTGTTGGCAGCCTTGGATGATGATGTTCGGACCATTTCAGGACCGAGGATGACCGAGATATTGCTTCGATGATTGGTGACGCTGTTACAGGAAGTGACTCCTATGATGCGTGATCAACGGAACGCAACCTGTCGCGTGAGGAAGGCATATCTGCTGAACTCAGATGATCTGAACGATTGACAAAAAGAGCTAGATTGACGACGATGTTCAAAATCCACTGAGGTAGACTTGCTTGTAGTAGCTTACAGAGGGAAAATCGTGGTCAGCCCTGCGATCTGGCCGATCCGGAGAAGCAGCTTTCCTTGTGATGGATTGGCAAGAGGCCCTTCCCACGAAAGGTTCTCTCAAATCTTTTCACTGCACGCCACGGTTTCCCTCTTACTTCATTAAAGTAGCGTCTAGCGACGTTATACAGTACAAAACTCGGCCTCACATGGCTGTTGTCAAGTTACGTACTAGCATTGCGAATATGGGATCAAAGTCACGCACCGAACATCTTCAAGACATTTTATGGAATATAACAGAAAATTGAAGACTAATAACACATATGTGGATAGGCTGACCCGCAGTATTTGCGTTTCGAAATCCTCATCACGCAGTAGTGACAGTTGTGCCTTCCTTTGTCTCCAGGTCTCGGTCTGTAATCAACCTTGGTGTTGGGTAATAGGAGCCCTAACAAGTCAGCTTTCTTTCCCTAGCGGAAGACTCTGCCACATACTAATTGTGAAGTAAGAAATGCCCAAAATCCGGACGCATCTGCGGACAAAATATGTACCTGACCCGTCTCCCGGAAACGAATGCCCACGCATACATCCGCGTCACACATCTTACTATATTCGCATGCCTTTTTCATTAAACTTGTTTTGCGACGGCATTGTTTTTGGCGCATCAATTTTCTCTTTGAGGAGGGGTAATTAGATCGGGTTGGCTTTATAGCAGCCATTGCGAGTAGCCACCTTGTTCTTTGGGGGAGCGATGAATTTGAAAAGCATCAGAAACGCAAGCTCTTATAGGGATAGTCTATTAACAGGAAAGAACCAAAGTATACAAAGGGCACTTTTCAATTTTTGAACATAGAAAAGACCACAAGTTTCTCATAAGGAAAATCATGGTCTTTTGCGGGTTAGGCAATACCTGGGCGCTAAGACGGCGCGTAGTTAGGGCTCCTCCACGTGATATTAATACTATTCAGCCATCCCGCCAAAAGTACGTGGGAAAGCAATACGGAAAAACGGCTTAAACTCGAGTCATTGAACTAGACCTACAACACGATATACATACTTTATCCTGCAAAAGGGTAGCATCCCATAAATCCCGTCATTTCTTTTCGGCAGGTTGGACAGCCCTCCGTTCTAAGAGCTTTAAAGCATGACCCGCAGAACATATACCCACACTGAATGACCACCCAGCGATCTGGCTGTCTATAGCAGATATTGCACTCTAAAACACGCTTTTCCCTTTGCTAGGAAAGTTCCTCCTGCGTCTTTTGGTGCTGCTCCCTTACTTAAAGAAGTTCCTCCTGGTACATCTCCCTCTCCTGGCGAAGTTCATCTCGAAGCTTGCGATTTTTCTCCTGTAGCCGTTGCATTTTATGGCTAACTGCCTTTCGGAGCTCCTCAAAGGCGTTGTCCTGGTCGATTATTAGTTAAGGAAGAAGAGGGCCTTGTGAGGAACTGGTACCAGTGCAGACGGCTCCTTCGTTTCAGTTCTTTTGCGTTTGCGTGATAGTGTCGTTTCCGTTACATCGACTGCTTCAACGATCATGTTCTCGAGCTCCCGGTAACTATAATCACGGCGAGGAGCCCTCCGAGGTCGTGAACTACCTAGCTCGAGGCTTAGCAATTCCTCGTCATCGGTTATAATAATCGTGTCGGATGGGCTCGCCATCTTAATCTTAGTCATCACGCTCAGGGGAGGAAAGTTAATAGAAGCGGGCCCGGGAAGACGGAAAGAGAATATCAGAGCATACAACCAGCTAGGGGAAGGAGGCCCTTTATATACCTGAGAACCAAAAGTGATGAACTCAGCCACTAGAAATAATTAGACTTCATGCGATCGCAATATCCTAATCTGCATTGCACGGTTGGACATCAAGCCGTGATAGTTATAAAACTAGGCTATAGCGTTGTATACGCTGCCCCGACGAGGCAGACAGTGTATACCTATATTTATCCGGGCCCCCCTGCTTGACTGCCGTTCGGGGGATCATGGCCTACTCTTGTCTCTGAAGGTCCTGCACCGGATTCGCGCAACGCTAGCGGCTGCGCACATAATACACATTAAATGCATAGCGCTGGAACGCCATTTGATGTAGCAAGGCTACTTCACACCAGTTACACTTAAAGGGCTTTTCTTTGAGATGAATAGCGTCAAAATGGCGGGTAACACAACCCGCGTCGTGATACATCTAGAAGCGAACACGGTCAGGGAGCCCCTTATTTACAAAGCATTGAAAGCAAGCCTCTGGCTTCTCAGAATTCTCGAGGTATTCTTTAGTAGCACGTGGCGGCTTACTAGCGACAGATAAAGGTACTTCACATAAGTCGGCATCATTTTAGGTCTACCCTATATCTTGCGGCTGATTTATGGGACTAGCCGACGTAGCGGATCTAGAGATGTTCCGCTTAGGCCGGCCCCTTAATGGACCTCCTTCAAGGACGTCACAATACTGCACGACGGCTGCAGTACCTGTATCGCGCCGATTCCACTCATCCTCTAACGAGTTAGAGATTAGGTAGGAAAGAAGACTCTGCACTAGATGCAACTAAAGGGGATGCATAGTGTCCTCCAAGGATGACTCATCCTCGCTCTCTTCCTTAACCACAGTACCAGATAGCTGCGCCTCGATGTCTAGAAATACTTGCTCTTCATCAAAATTCTCTCGGATCTAATACCGCAAGCTCCTTTGCAACCGTTTTCGCGTGTTTCTCACCTCTTTTTCTAGTTACTAGATCCGAGGGAGCAGGGCGGGCTACTGGGTCTTCTCGTATTAGGCACGAATCTTACTTAGATTGCGCCAGGCCTCTTCCAACTCGGGATCATCCTCAAGTTATACCCTCTGTTAATCGGTCAAATAGCGTGGGCGTCGTGTGTCTCGCCAACGACTTTGTCGTGTGACGGCTCGCATCAGTTCCACATCTAGGTCGAGGCCACAGATAATCCGGATCATATCGGTGTCGAGTTGTAGAGGATGATAGTAGACCTGGCTTTGCACCTCCCCGCGGTGCGAAATTTCAGAACCTGCACCGCACCTCAAGAGGTACAGGTACAGACTTTCGCACCTCAACCGACCCTGAGGGTCGGGAGGGTCGCTAGAGGGTAACCCTCATCGACCCGCATGAACCCGCATTTACATAATTTTTCGACGCTTTTCCTCTTTTGGCTGGATAAAATGGATGATTCATCTCTGTTTTTTACAGCTGTTCCGTCAACCTATAGACATTTCATCGAATACTCTATCAACATGATGAATTATAGAGAAATAATCATACAAAAGTAAATAGCAGGCATGGTCATATATAAATGTTAAGTGATATTCAATAATATTAATGCGGTAGGTGGTTAATGAAGGTCATCGGCAAAACAGTATACAGTAAACTCCCGTTTTCGGCACTCCTAGGTTAGGCACACATTTTTATTAGGCACCAAAATCTGTTAGATAGACCCACTTCTTAGAGTTTTCCTATATATAAGAGGCTAACCGGTATACCTTTTTGTCTGGTACACAAAATTCTCTTCAATTTTTGCTTAGTTATATAAACCGACTAATCAGAATGTAGGATTTTTCCCCTTCTAACCCTTCTACCCCTTCTTCGGTCGCTCTTTTAGCTAAACTGGCTATACTAAAATAACCTAATAAAGGTATATCCGATGCTTAGAAAAAAGTATTACGTATCTATGCATCGGAGACACGCCCTAAACCTACTTAGAGAGAATGCGCTAAGTAGTTTTTATCTTAATTTAATCGTTATATCAACCGTGCGACCGTCTCTAAGATTCTTTTATCTAAATACGAGTACCTTAATACTAGTTTAGCTAGTTAGAATAAACGCCCGTTAGCATCTCGGTGGCCTCTATTAGATAAGGCCCTATATATCTAGTAGTAGCGTCACGAGAATACCGGTTTTCCTATAATAGGCCTATTAATTCAGAGTAAAGCCGTCGAATATTGGAAGAAAATACCCTAGTATAAAGATCTCGACCCGCTACTTTTCTCTAAAGGGTAGCTATCACGGTTTAAATAGCGCTATTCGATCCGATATTATACCTCCTATAGCGAATCTGTATCGGTTCCGGCTTCGATGTATTCCGACATAGAAGCTATTCGGGCTATCTGCGACTAATATTAGCTAAACAATGTCTATAATATAGATGAAATAGGTCTATTCTAGCGTCGAATGCTAAATAGGGGTCTATCGAGTAAGGGTAGTCCTAGTTATAAAAAAGATAAGACTAGGATTACTCTCGTAGTAACGACTAATGCTACTGGTTTAGATCGAATACCTCTATAGTTAATAGGTACTGCGAAGATGCCTCGTGCTCTACGAAAACTTAATATCCTAGTACTTAGATATATCTAGCGATAGAATAAGAACGTATAGATACGCGGTAATGTTATATAAGAATGGTTCCGCTCGTTTTATAGGTATATTAGTATATAAAGACGAGTCGTGCTATTACTCGATAACTTTAGCGCGTATCTCTCTACGCTTAAATATACGCTACCGCTATCTAATATTAAAGTCGTTTTTTTGCCACTAAACGCGACCTCGGTTTACTAGCTATTAGACTAGGGTATTATTAGAAACCTTAAGTACTATTATCGGAAGAAATGGTTGATATAGATAGTTAATATAATAGACCGCGGCGTCGATCCTACGTAGAGAATGAGCCTCTATTATATACTATATTAGATTATCTAGGCTTAGAGACGTAACGTCCTAGATAAGACTATTTAGAAGTGCTTTATTAAGAGTACGCTTATTAGTCCTAGCACTAATAAGATGAATACGTCTCCGTCTAAGGATCTTTAACTAGGTGATTTATACGTAGAGGTGACCGACCGGCTTCTTAGTATAGAGGTTATGATATTAGATAAATTTCTAGACCCTCTAGGAGAAAACATCGACGTGGAAGAGCCTGATTTATCTAATATTATCGTTTATTTTTCAGAAGAAAATATAGGTAGGGATAATAGGGTTTAGGATAGCGAGGACGACTAGGACGAATATATATTCGGACTATCGCTAGATATCCTCTCGCGTGTTGAAGCTATTAAATATATATATAAAGCTCTTTAATTTGCCTAGTACTAAGAGGGAATTACTGAGAGAGATCTACGTGATATAGAGAGGATCGCTTATCTTTTTTCTCGATTCGAGATTAATGGGAGGAAGTAGAGAAGGGTGGATGACTACTTTAGACTAAAAACAGACTAGTTCTTACTAGATGAGGTTTAGCGCGATATTAGTGGTACACTTTCATTAGGCACATCGGAATTCTGTTATACGGAGGCCCGTGCCGAAAACGGGAGTTTACTGTATAAAGTTGTAGATATATATATCGTAGAGCCTGTAAAGTATGTGTATCTTTATAAGTAGTACTACTATTTTTTAAGAAAGCTGTAAAGATAGAGTTTAAATTCCCTTATTCTTATATCATTTGAATCGTTAAGTCTTCTCCTATTAAATTGCTATTAAGAATTTAGGTTAGATAATATAGGTAGGTCGTTAATTCGGTTTAAATATGCTAATTGTTAGACTTAGATATTCTGGTTAAGAATATTTTCTTAAACTAAGGGTCTCTTTGAGGTGTACAGTAAACTCCCGTTTTCGGCACGGGCCTCCGTGCAACAGAATTCCGATGTGCCTAATGAAAGTGTGCCACTAATATCGCGCTAAACCTCATCTAGTAAGAACTAGTCTGTTTTTGGTCTAAAGTAGTCATCCACCCTTCTCTGCTTCCTCCCATTGATCTCGAATCGAGAAAAAAGATGAGCGATCCTCTCTATATCACGTAGATCTCTCTCAGTAATTCCCTCTTGGTGCTGGGCAAATTGAAGAGCTTTATGCATATATTCAATAGCTTCAACACGCGAGAGGATATCCAGCGGTGGTCCGAATATATATTCGTCCTGGTCGTCCTCGCTATCCTGAACCCCATTATCCCCACCTGTATTTTCTTCTGAAAAATGAACGATAATATCAGATAAATCAGGCTCTTCCACGTCGATGTTTTCTCCTGGAGGGTCTAGAAATTCATCTAATGCCATAACCTCTGTACCAGGAAGCCGGTCGGTCACCTCTGCGTATAAATCACCTAGTTGAAGGTCCTCAGACGGAGACGTATTTATCTCATTAGTGCTAGGACTAATAAGCGTGCTCTTGATAAAGCACTTCTGAATAGTCTCATCTAGAACGTCACGTCTCCAAGCCTAGGTGATCCAATGTAGTGTGTAATAGAGGCTCATTCTCTGCGTAGGATCGACGCCGCGGTCTATCATATTAACCATCCATGTCAACCATTTCTTCCGATAATAGTGCTTAAGGTTTCTAATGATACCCTGGTCTAATGGCTAGTAAACCGAGGTCGCGTTTGGTGGCAAAAAAACGACTTTAATATTAGACGGCGGTGGCGCATGTTCAAGCGCAGAGAGATACGCGCTAAAGTTATCGAGCAATAGCACGACTCGTCTTTATGTGCCAATATGCCTATAAAACGAGCGGAACCATTCTTGCATAACATTACCGCGCATCCATGCGTTCTTGTTCCATCGCCAGACATATCCAAGTACTAGGATATTGAGTTTTCGTAGAGCACGAGGCATCTTCGCAGTGCCTATTAACCATAGAGGCATTCGATCTGAACCAGTAGCATTAGTCGTTACTGCGAGAGTAATCCTGGTCTTGTCTTTTTTATAACCAGGACTACCCTTACTCGATAGACCCCCATTTGGCATTCGACGCCAGAATAGACCTGTTTCATCCATATTATAGACATCGTTTGGCTGATATTGGTCGCAGATAGCCCGAATAGCTTCCATGTCGGAATACATCGAAGCCGGAACCGATGCAGATTCGCCATAGGAGGTATAATATCAGATCGAATGGCGCTGTTTGAACCGTGATAGCCACCCTTTAGAGAAAAGTGGCGGGTCGAGATCTTTATACTGGGGTATTTTCTTCCAATATTCGACGGCTTTGCTCTGAATCAATGGGCCTGTTATAGGAAAACCGGCATTCTCGTGACGCTGCTGCCAGATATATAGGGCCTTATCTAATAGAGGCCACCGAGATGCTAACGGGCGTTTGTTCTAACCAGCTAAACCAGTATCAAGGTACTCGTATTTGGATGAAAGAATCTTGGAGACGGTCGCACGGTTGATATGACGATTAAATTGAGATGAAAACCACTCAGCGCATTCTCTCTGAGTAGGTTTAGGGCGTGTCTCCGATGCATAGATACGTAATGCTTTTTTCTGAGCATCGGATATACCTTTATTAGGTTGTTTTGGTATAGCTAGTTTAGCTGAAAGAGCGACCGAAGAAGGGGTGGAAGGGTTGGAAGGGGAAAAATCCTGCATTCTGATTGGTCGGTTTATATGACTAAGCAAAAATTGAAGAGAATTTTGTGTGCCAGACAAAAAGGTGTGCCGGTTGGCCTCTTATATATGGGAAAACTCTAAGAAGTGGGTCCATCCAACAGATTTTGGTGCCTAATAAAAATGTGTGCCTAACCTGGGAGTGCCGAAAACGGGAGTTTACTGTATTGAGGTACGTTTAGGGGTAATAAGGGGTCTTTTTAAGGTGTACTAAGGTATACTAAGGTGCGGGGGGGTTAATCGAGGGTCTCTTTAAGGTGTATTAAGGTATATTAAGGTGCGGGGAGGGTTAATTCTCGGGTTATCTACTATACTAGCGAATAAGATCTCAATAGGTAGATATAAAAAACGATATATTAATTCTAGTATATATAATAGGGTTAAACAGATACCCTAAGAAAATCGTACGTCTTTTCGCGTAAATAAATCAGTAAGTTCTCTATTATCTCTATCCTTAGTTAATATACTATCTTCTAGTTTACTAAATCTATTATATCTTAGCTCTCCGAAGTCTACTTATCGTCTAGCTTTGAAACTCTAGATAGGGTGCTATTAGACGCGATCTAATTCCTCCTTCCTAACGATTCCCTCTCCTAACGCGAAAGCTAGAGTCACTTCTAGTCCGAGAGCTAGTTTAATTTAGCCCTTGACCTTCCGAATAATCGAGTTCAGATTCGTGCGGTATCTTAGGTCCTAGATACCCTTCCGCGAATTAGGCCCGACCGTATTAACGAGTTTATTATCTATACACTAGCGATATCTACAGAATTCGTTTAGTGGTAGCTTTATACTAACTACGGTAAGTCGAAGCGGATTAACTAGGATATAAGCCCTAGAAGCCGTCGTGTAAAGTGCTAGGAAGGGTTTTAGTAAGTTATAAATACTAAAGATAGAAAGCTAGGGGTTATATATAATCACTACCGTATAGTTCTCGCGTATCTAGCTACGAACTATACTAGAACGTCGACGATATAGAAATATCTCGATAGACTAAGGTGCCGATAACGACTACCGAAGAAAGGTACTAGTAGTATCTATTAACTACTTAGTGACGCGGTATATTCGAACTAGCCTATATTAACGTTAATACTAATACTTAGTTTACTCTCCCTTAGGCCGAAAGAAGACTAGCGCCTACCTTTACCTAACGAATATAGGAGTAGAAGATTCTTAATCTTATTACTATATCATAATTACCCTTCCGACTCCTCGAGTATTAAGAATTCCACGACCTCCTTTCCTACGTACGGCTAGTACCTATATTACTAAGCGTCCTATCGAGAAAGGTTATTCGCGAGCGCCTCCGGAGTTTCGTTATAGAGTATTAATAAGACACACTATAACGGCTCCTATCTAGTGTAAAACTATTACTTACGCTTAACTACTAGACTTCACTATTCTAGGATATATTTATAGCTATAACGGGATATTTTATAGACTAGGAATAGGAGTATCGCGAGGTCCTCCTTAGGTTTAAGCTACTTTCTGGAACTCACTCTGGTGTGAACCTCGGTGAGGTTGTTCTCTAGATTTTATAAAAACACTAAATCACTAATCGTGTACTAGCGGTAATAACTAATAATACGTCTAATAATAAGACGCTAATTATAGCGGTGAATGATTTAATCCGCGAACTATAGCTAAAGACAGATTCTACGATTATTTAAGTGCCCTACCTTACGTATATTATTTAATTAAGTCTGATTAATTTACTTGGTAAAATTAAGGCTTTACTAAAAAACGATACTGCCGAATTAGTATAGTCTGATAATCGTGTACGTTTACTTCGTGCGCGCTAGTAGAAATATAAGATCGCCGATACTCTAAATAAGGTAGGTTTCTATTTAAGTGTCTTATATAAATCACTAACTATCCTTATAGGTTCGAGGTCTTACGGTTTATATTAACGGAAGCCCTTAACGTAAGGAAGCCTTCCTAAATCTCTAGTCTAATAGGCAAAAGCTTATCCTAATCTAGGATGTTCGTACGTAATAGAATTCGACGTTTCTTATGCTCCGACGGGCGAAAAGGCTTTATATTATATTCGATAAGTACTATTCGTACTATGATTAACCCTATTTTGTATTAAGTATAGAGGGATAGCGATAGATTAACTATCTACTTTATATCCTTTAGCCCTTCTTTACGTTTACTACGCTAGTTTGTTAAACTAAAGACTCGAGTATTTATCTTATCTTTAGTATTTATAATAGGCTCTTTAATTATCTTAAAAGATCTATACGTTAGCTTCGTCGAAAGAAGGTTTCCTAGAAGTAGCTAATACTTTCCTTCCTTAAGGCTACGAAAGACAAACTCTCGAAATACTACGGTATAATAGATAATATCGAAGGTGATCTCTATATAATTAGAATAATCTTAGATCCGTCGAATAAGATAGAGTTCTTTTTAATAAGTGATTAGGCCCCGGATTATATAGGAAAGAACTATAAGAAGGAATACCGTAAGAGTCTCTAGTCTCTTTTCGAGAGATATAGCTGATGTATACTATTAGATATAATATAGTCTAATAGTAGGCTATTAGTAACTAAATTAGCGCTTAAGAGGGCTTATATACGTGATCTATCGAAGCTATTAACCGGTCCGTAGCACGATAAGCTTACTAGATATCTTTAAAGTAGTAAGTGGGTAAACCTACTAAATAGATTATTAAACTAACCTTCTTAGATACTATCGATGAATCCGCGCGGATCTTCTAGAGAAATAATAAGAAGGAGTTCCCTATTCTTATAAGTATTACCTGTGATATAATGTCTATTCTAGCGACTGGTGCCGGAGTTAAGCGTCTTTTTAACTTTGCTCGGGATGTTTACCACTACCGCCGGGGTTCGTTGAACCTAGAAACTATTCGCGATATTATATTATATTTATATATAATAAGGTTCGATATTAAGGAGGAGTAGCGGCTAATTCTCTAGGAGTATTTTTCAGAGTAAGAGATCGTAGCTACGTCTAAAGAACTCGATATCGAGATATATTACTCCGAGGCTATTAGTGATACTAAGGAAGACATCGAGTTGTACCTTAATATACCGGTCGTACTACTACTCTTAGAGGTCGCTACTAGAAAGCGGCCGGCGGTCACTTTTGATAATAAGGGAGTCTCTAACGTCGATGAATTTGCGGATCTAGAAGAGAACTCGGTATCACCCTTACCTGATACGTAGCATCGTGTATTAGGTAGGATACGGAAAAGGTTAAGACTTCTGGATAGGTATATAGTTTAATAGTTTAAGACTTGAGAACCCTATATTCGAATCTAAATAATCATGTAAATAATTAATCATTCAAAGCCCTATAACCCATTCGAAGATAAACCTATGATATACACTAAATGCTCCTGTAAGGCCATATAGTAATAAAGTTTTAGTTTACAATTACAAGAGAAAACGGCCTGTTTCTACATAATATATGTAATTGACCCCGAGTGACGTTTTTTACCTGTTTGTCATGTTTGTCGCACCTCAGGTTTACCCGCGGGTTACCCTCTTGAGGGTCGACCCTCGAGCTACCGCACCTGAGGGTCGGAATCTTGGAACCTGATCCGCCCAAGCGGAGGGTTAGGTGGAGGGTTATGAGGGTTACCCGCGGGTTGGTGCCAGGTCTAGATGATAGTGGTCGAGAAAGGTCCAGGGGCTAGCGTGCTTCATGATCAACATGTGTTGTTCCTTGCTCACCCACCCTACAGACTACATCAGCCACCGACGGAAAAGAAGGGAGAGAGGTATTAGTGGCCTCCGTAAAAGTACTTACCGCTCTCGTTAATCACTTTACCACTTCTATAACGGAACTGATGGGCATGGAATGCCCCTTTCCACCCACGGATCTCCCCGAAGGTAACCAGCAAGGTGGACATGGCCGACTTAGACATCTGCACGGTCCGCTGAATAGTGGGAACGCCATTGACCAGCTCCGTCTTACAGAATATATACCAATCAGACTTGTTCGGGTCTAAGGGCACCAGGAGCTACTCACAGCCTTTGCTGATAAAGAGTTTCCGTAGCTGAGCCTTCGAGGTCAGCCTCGAATTCCGGAATGCGCGCGCATGGAACAGGATGCCGAAAAGCAATGTATACGGGCATATCACCAGAGAGGGACCATAAACGATCTCGGGAAGCGCAAAAGTAGTCCTGCGGATTGGTTAGCTGCATGACCCTAGCCAGAGATTCCGGAGGCGAGAAAGATACTATGTATCTGGGGGTAGCCGGGGAATCAAGAGAGGGAGAGACGGAAATTACGCTCGCCGTACAGTTTGGTCAGACCGAGGAATTTTTTGGTCCCTTCGGGAGTAAGTTCAATCATAGGGATGGGTAGGCCTCCACGAGGGTCCTTCTGAAGGGAGATTTGCAGGTCCTTAAATTGCATACTCAACAAAGCGTTCCTCCGGTGCACAGTGAACAAAGCGAGTGAGTTGAACAGGCACACCTAGATACGTTAGAATCCTAGGTAGAATTTCTTCTCCTGCGTGGACAAAATGGTCTCGTTAAACGGCCCAATATCCTCGATATAAACTAGCGTCTTCTTTCCAGGTTGTGTGTCTAAGCCATGCTCTTGGACCAAATACTTCATACCCTGTCTTCTGCGGTTAGACGAGATAACTAAACAGGTCAAGAAAGAAAAAATTCAAGTGCTACTGACCCTCCGTACATCTGAGCCATCCTCATCATTGATTTTGATCTTGGTAAGCTTTTGGTAGTAGCCACGAAGGTTTTTCCAGTCCGTATTCAACGAGCTAGCTTTGTTGATACGCTTTAACCTTCGGTTATTCTTGCCACGCTCGAGCTTAAGACACCAGCCTAGGAACCGATACATGTCATTATTCGACGCCTGGCGTAGCGCTTCCTCAGGCTCCCGCCATTTTGGCTCGTTAGGCTTGTTCAGAACTTAGCTGACACAGTACCTATGCCTACATTAGTAAAGAGCCAAAGAGGGTAAATCTCCGTCATCACCAACCGTTTCCACCGGGTCTCAATCCGCTCTCGTCGTTCAATGGTGCCCGGTGCTTTGTCGAAATCCTCAGGAATCTCAGACAGATCAATTCCATCATCATCTAGTGGATCATTGTAGTATTCTCCGAACTCGCCAGGGAGCCCTAGCTCCAAGGCAGAGCAGTTCTCATCCGACCGGAGACGTTTTCGTGGGCTTGGGGAATCGTCCGCCTCCGTCAGATCCGTCTCATAGGTAGCATCGCCCTGCTCATCGGAGTCGCTAGTAGAGGTCGCAGTTATATCATCCTCGGCAAAGGCAGTTCCCAGCTTTCTACTTCTCCGGGATCGAGAGCGCTTCATTGGTGGGATCGGGGGTTCGCAGGGACGGCGAAGGTGCGGAGGACGCGGGAGGGATAGAGGCCACGAAACCACGATACGGTCAAGCGGCCAGCAGTACACTTATAGAAGGACGTGGCAGGTGTGTTGGGAGATACACCCAAGGTCGAGGAAACAGGAAAGGCGGACGAAAGAAGAACGAAGAACGTGAAGGAAAGGGCCCCTAGATAGGCCGGGAGGGGGAATGGGGGGATACACTCGCGATCGAGGGAGCAGGATGGGTGGAAGAACGAAGAATATAAGGGAAATGGGCCACGATGGCAGGTTTGTGCCGTCGTGACTTGGCCTGTGGCCAGGCCCATTTAATGGGGTGCAGTGAGGCCATTTTTGGCGCCCTCGCAAAGCGTCCAAGTCGAGGGAACTTTGACGGAGGCAACTGGATTGCTGGGGTGTCTACGAGTGGGTCTGCTGGTGCGTGGTGGTAGCGGGACGGAGGCGTGTCGAGAAAGTGAGGTCACGTGTTACCAAATGACGGCCGAAAAAGGCGTCGACTGACGCCGAAAGTGGCAGCCATTTGGTAAAACCAAATTGTCTACTAGTAAAATCGTAGGCTCTTCGATCGGAAACAAACCTAGTAGGGTCTATACCGGTAGAGGATAATCTATTAGTAGATAGTCTCTACTATTAGGTTCCGGGATAATCGGAATAACTATCCCCTAAGGTTTAGCGGTAGTTTCTATAGGATCTCTTTAGTTAGGATCCTCTTCTTTAGCCTTATATACTCGCTAATAAATTATATATCCTCGAGGGTCTTCCTAGTAGACCTTATTATAGTCTTACTACCTATCCTCCTCTATATTTTAGTTCGCTATTAGCTCTATAGGTATCCCGAGGTCCTCTTGTAGGATATTTAGGTATTCCTTGTCGGTTAGAATCGTCGGTTTAGGTATAGGTAGTTCGATATCTTACTAGTACTATATATTAGGTTTCTATCGTCTCGCTTTATTAAATCTTATATCTCGCACAATTTTAACCTTTCCTCTCGTAGGAAACTAGACCTTCTATATTGATGACTCGACCCTATTGACCTCGACTACTCGGTCGTTTGGTCATGCGTCCTCCCGTTTACACCTGTATAGATTGCTCTGCAGGTTTGATGGTTCTTTCCAGGACCAGCGCTTCTTTGTCTTGTAGACCTATTTAGGTCTTTCTCTTCTTCCTTTTCTTCTTCTTCTCTAGATCCATCTTCATCATCATGTCTAGATAGAGACAATCGATTCAGATCTCCTTTTCCTGCTTCCTTGCGCTGGTGTCGATGACACCATCATATATATTCGAAGCGACGTATCCGACTAAGAATCTAATCTCTACACGGGGAGAGGTCTTCTTTAGGCGTAGGATCTTTTGAATTCGGTAGTAGGTTATTAACCTATATACGCGAAGATAAGTAAGGTTAGCCTTCTTTATCCTTTCGCTACCGAAATCCTTACGTACTTTATCCTACGGTATAATCTAGTAATTCTGCTCTTTTAGGTATATAGGGATCCGGTTTAGGATCTATACTATAGTAATAACTATCTCTAGCTATAGCTTCTATAGTAGTTAGCTCTTAATTTATAGGTACCTTACTATTATTAGGATAATATCTCCCGATCGTTCTATAGAACCGTTCTACTTAGGGTAGTATAGGATACTATATAAGATAACGATACCGAGATTACCTAGGAAGCTCTCGATTTCTACTTAGTTAAATCGATCTAGTAGACCTATCGGGTCCTACTTGTGACGGGCCAGGGCCCGATGGTAAACCATGTACCATGGCCGTTTTGGACATCGTCTTGGCAGAAGGATCGGAGCAATTCTATCACGAGGTTCTAGAGGATTCCATCGAGACGGGACTAACATTTCTTAAGGACCACGACTGACTCCTGTCTCTTCTTTCTTTTCTCAAGACTGATGTAAACAGCATGTTGGCCTAGTTAGATTGAATTAAGTCTTGCTTCAGCCCTTCACATCTAGGTCTAGCCGACGACGAATAGACCGAGCAGAGGGTAATTTAATCTTAGAAGGAGCTAGTTAAATAATATCACAAAGTTATTAGAACTCAGGACGCTTAAGTATACGGAATAGGAGTCGGGTAATAGTAATAAGCTAGAGAAGATAATAGATAGGAAGATCTTTAGAGAAGGACTATGGCGATCGAGTCTAGGGCTAAATAAGAAGAGAGTTAGTAAATAGTAGTAGATAATTAGGATAATATTTAAACTAACTGATTAGAGTAGTAGCTAATTAATTCCTCGTCTTTGTAGCCTAGGCTTATAAGTAGTACTTTTAAGATACGTATTTATTAGGCTTATTCCCCCGCGGCGTAACTAGGGATAAGTAAGGGTAGTATAGTAGCGCTTATATATAATCTTTAGCTCGCTAGTCTTTTCGTTTATAACTTAGTCGAATTTATCCTAAATATTTAATCTTTTTTTATTATCCTAGCCGATCGAAGCTCTAGTATCCTCCTTTACTCCAAACTAGTCTTCCGCACGACCCCAGAAAATCCTAACCCCACCCCACCCCAACCCCAAATGGGATAGGGTTTGGGATATGACTCTTAGACCCTAGATGGGTTCTAGGGTTTCTATCGAGGACCCTAGATGGGGTATGGGGGACCCCATTGGGGTTACATACTTAACAAACAAGCTAAGTCCCTGGGACTGCATAAATTATGCATCTTCGCCTGTAATCTAGAAGTATTTCGTTTACAATACTCTAATTCCATGATCTAGGATTTCTTTCGTCGAAAATTCTTATTAGATCAAAAGTAACTCAATTCTTTAGTAGCGCTTATATATATCGTCCTCCCTAATTCTTCGCTTTCTCCCTGAAACCCTGACCTAGGTACTATTCTCTGGTAGTCGCACCTTAGCGTCATTATTATCGTCTACATCTATAAGATTACTGAACTTATTATCCTGCTCCTCTGTATCACTAATTAGCTCGACCTCTATCTCCTCTAGCTTCTTATCCATCTCTTCCTTCGCGGTTTTAAGCTCATCTAAAGAGAAGAACTTTTTAAGCTCCTTTGCTTACTACTCCTCGAGATCAAACCTTAATATATAAAGGAAAAGCATAAGCTCCTTAATAGTCTTAGGCTTTATACGACCACGACGGTAATAATATATATCACGCGTAGTATTAAAGAGTCGTTCGACGCTAGTACCTATTGCTGGGAAAGATAGAATATCCCGTACTAGTGATATAATCGCGGGGAAGCGCCCTTAGTGTTCTCTCTAGAACTAAAGAGGTTCAACATTAGTAAGATCTAGAAATTATATAAGCTTTAAGGTCTATTAAAGGCATTATCGTGATCCTAACTTACCTCTATTAAGATATTAAGTTATCTTATCTCTAGGTAGCTTTGGGACCTTTACTAGTGCCTTTTGCCTATTTAATAGTTTATTAAGCTTTAAATTTAGCCTTTCTTTAATAGGGGAAGTTACGGTGCTATTTCTTAGTGATAGAGTTCTGGTAAGGAACTAGAGCCTCCCGGAACGAATCCCGATACTTAACACGCTATTCTTAATCCTAGTTATCTGAAAGAAAGAATTGAAACCTACTATCTGGGGCTAGTATAGTACTAATAGTATAGATATACCCTCGAGTATGATCTGTCTACGAGTAGTACTTAGTGAGCTTTAATCTACTAGCTTTAAGGGCCTTAAGTATCTGCTTCTTCTATAGAATACGCTTTCTTCGGAGCTACTTTATTAACTACTCAAGATGCTCAAAAAGTGTATTATAAATCCTGAAAACAAGATATACGGTTACGTCTCGAGTCTTTAAGAGTGCCTATATGTATTCAAAGAATAGCTCCGTGAGATAAAGAAGATAGTTAATCTGACGCTATTCTTCCTTGTCTAATAATATTTCTTTATAATCGTATTCCTCGCAGAATAGTGTAAAGAACGACCGTAAGCGTTTCGCACGACGAAGTATAAGAAATGTTGAATTCTACCGAGTTTTTATATCCTAAATCGGTAGAAGTTTCTGTGTATTGGTTACGATCTATAGTTTGTTAAATGCCTCCTGTCGCTAAGGGCTTACACGAATATAGACTACGAGGTACCGTACCTTATTTAAGGTATAGGAGATTTCCCGTGTCTGATGCCGTGTATTTACCTTCGCGAGTATTGACTGCCGGTCGGTCTATTTCGTCTCTGTAGTATCATTTAATAGGACTGCTTTGATACGATTAAGTAGCTGATTTAAGCTAAGTTAAATGACATAAGTAAGATAGGGGATCCGGATAATATTAATATTATCGGATAAAGCCTATTAGAGAGAATTAATAAGTGTCTTGTTATTTGACGCGTTATTAGCTATTACTCTAAAGACTCGATCTTGGATCTTATAGTTATTTAGGGTCTTTAGAAGAACACTACTTAAATTATTCCTAGTATAAGCTCTATAAAGGGGCTTAAAACCAAGAAGCACCTCGCGGTATACCTAGTTTATATCGATAAAGTAGCTAGTAATGGCTATAAATGCCTGCGAGAACGGAGATGTCTAATAATCTAGAGTAATAGATATCTTTGTATTTTAAGGAAGTATTTAAAGGGTCTGTTATTGTCGTTTTTGTACTTAGCTTTGTAGTCGGCGACGTATAGTATTAGCAGAGGGGATAGTTAGAGGGCTTAGAGTATATTGAGCTTTATGAATTAGACGCTTAAACGTTGGATGCTCGATAAGTTAAAACGGAAGCCGGTTGATTATAAGAAACTGTAGAAGCTCCTCCTCCTAGTTATCTTAAGAGAAAGCTCTTATAGGGAAATTATTATCCTAAAATAAAGAAAGGCTAATAATGTTAGTAGATATAAGTAGAATAAGATTAAAGAAAGGGGAACTTAGTAGATTAGCCTTTTTAAGGCTACATAATATACGCGATTTTTAAAGAATCGGGAAATATCAGTCTTTTTCCCTACCGTAGCTTGAAGATATATATTGGTTTTTAAGTGTTTTGCTATTATTAATATGCCTTAGTAGGTTAGTCTGCTATTACCGACTAGGCGTATTAAGTAAGGATACTCGAGAACTTGATCACACTATTTATATATAACCTTTAGCGCGTTATCTATGCTATAAGCGACCTGATGAAAATAGCTCTAGATGCTGTTATTACGCCCGTGTGTATCCTAGCTAAATTTATTAGCTTAAGGGCAAGATCTATAATTAGTCTGTAACCACTATTCGATGAAATCACTATAAACTATTATATCGTAAAGAAGAAATACCTTCTTTCGGTTCGGACCGACTTACGTAAGAGAGGGGGGGTATTATAGAGGATTCGAACGTAAGGAGATCTCCGATCGTAGAGAGGGAGCGTCGATCGTATTAGCGGTATACTAACTACTAGATAGTGTAGGTATTTCGTTCGATAATATTAGATAGTTAAGACTTTCTAATTCTATATTATAAGTAGATAAAGATAGAATATTAGTCTATTAGCTTTAAGACATAATAGAAGAGGATAATTAAGGGTTTAGATTATAGTCAAGGAAGAAAGGAGGAATAGTATATACTTAAGAGCTTAAAAAGAATATCTTCTATTATCCTGATTCAGGGATACTAAGGAGAAGGGGATAGATTAAAAGAAATATACTAGTTTAAGCTTTTGATTGGCTATCGGAACTTAGCGGCCTAGAAAGATCCTAATAAAACCCTAGAAAGATCCTAAATAGTCCCAAAAGACCCTAGAGAACCCCTAAAAAGATCCCAAATAATCCCAAAAACCCCTAGAAAGCCCTAGGAAAGTCCCACAATACCCTATCTCCCACTTATCTTAAACTAGATATCCTCAAAAATTTTACCTAGTCAAAGCAAGATATCTAATTATACCAGGAACTTTAAGCTAGGTTAACTAAGATAGGACTATTATCTATTACTATAGGTCGAATAGAACAAGACTATAGAATAGACTTAATAGAGGATATTTAAGTGTTAGTTACAGGATTAAATAAGCAGATATCGAAATTATTATCTGCGTTACTAGTGATATATATTCTCGTCTAAATAACATGTTTATATCTCTGCAACCTCATCAACAAAAATCCTCTATATAACGTATACACCACTAAAACCGTCTAAATTCCTCAAATTTGGGAGTAAGAATTAAAAATGAGCTACATCCATCCTTAGTTCGGCATAATTACATAAAATTTCCAATATCTTCAAGCAGAATCATATGGTATTTTAAGAGCAGAACCAAAACAGGTTTAAAAAACAGGATTACATACTAATTATTCAGCTGATTTATACACGCTAAGATCTTGATTTTATACAAAATAGGATTTTTATAGGACTTTTTGGGGTGATCCGAGGGCATTTCAGAAAACCCTAAACCCCATTAGGGTTAGGGCCTGGGGTCTAGCTCTTAGACCCCAGATGGGGTTTGGGGTTCTGCAATCGGAACCCATTTGGGGTTTTGCGGAAGACTACTCCAAACTCGGTCTGTAGCCACTATTCCGTAAATTATAAACGGGATTACTCTATCTCAGGATCTATATCGTACAATATCTAGATCTAGCAAAACCGAGGGCTAACGCGTTTTAACGAGGATAGTACTAGCTATTAGGTAACCGAAGTAGCTATTCGGTAAGTATTACTAAGGGTAGGTAGATCGTCTAACTATAGAAAGTTAGCCTTAGAAAACTAATCGGTAAAACCAGACACTTAGGAATAAGCTATAATAAGGAAAGGCCTAAGGAGTAGGGGTCTAGTAGAGAGGAAAAGGAAAACCTACTAGGGATTCACTTTAGGATAAGAAGGGATAAGTTACGACCGGGGGAAATCAACAAATATCAAAAGCAATTATAGCTTACTAGTTAATCGTGTAAGCTAATTAGATCCTACTATCCATTCGTACGGTTATCTCTTAGTTAACTAATAGATAACCGCTAAGTAACCGCAAAGACCGCAAACTAACCGCAAACTAACTATATACTACTTTAACTTATTATTAAAACTTATTCTTTACTTCTATTTTTTATAGAGTTATTTTTAATTAGAAATCATCAAAAACTAAATTTTAGCGAACTCTATAATATATCTAGAATAAATTATCTTTAGAGGTAAATTAGCAGAAATCGACGTTTAAATATCAGTTTACTCAGAACACAGAACAACTCCCCTAGAAGTATTATAATATATTTCCGTAGCAAAGCCGACTAAGTCTCAAAAGTATCCATAACTATATATATATCACTACTCACTTAGCATTCTGGATAAATCTAACATTAATACTCATTTAATATACTTAGTCAGACTTAAATACAATTCGATTTCAAAAACTTTCCAAAGATAATCAATAGTATTAACATAATCTGCCTGTAAGAACCAAAACATAGTGTAAAAATACATAATTAGATAGCTGCATAAAGATCACAAGACTACTAGAATAGGGAGGATCTTCAAAAATTATGCATTTACGGTTAACCATTAGTTAACCGCACTATGGTTTTGATTAACCGCAAATTTGCGGGTTTAGTTGCGGTTTTCACCTTACTAACCGCAACCGCAGGTTTTTGGTTTTGGTCTTCAACCTAAGACCGCAACCAAAACCATGCCGCAGTCTACTCACGATAGGGCCGCAAGCTAATAAAGTAGCTCCGATCCTAACACACGTGGCTAGTAGCGGCTAAATCTAAGATCTACCGAGAGGATAGAGTCGGCGCGTGGGTATAAAGGGTCGTTATCCTCGCCCTCACGATATTGATCCTCGGTCTCTTAGAAGTCGGCGGGCCCTACCGTTCTTCCCTCTGGCTTAATAGTATAAGTTAGTTATAAATCGTGTCTTAGTAAGCCAGAAACACTCCTTTCCGTCTTGAGGGTATAGTCCCTTAACGGTTACTATTCGCGCTGTTTCTTCTAGCACTCCGCGGCTATATAGCCGCGCTTCTTATAGTAGGCACATTTCTTCGCGCTCTTCTAAACCGTATTAATAGAGGTATTGCTTAAGGACCCTTACGCTCCGCGTGGGAGCGTAGCAGCGTCCTTTCGCTGCACTGTCTGCTCGGCGTTAGCGAGACGGTTTCTAATCGTCGTCGGATTAACGGGGTCCTTGTTATTCTAGATCGTATCCACGACGAGGACGTATTCTGGTCCGATCTGTGTTAATAGAATTACGATGTATGCTCGGTCGCCGATAGATCCCGGAGCAATAGTATTTAGCCGGTACACTAGTAACCGCACACGATCGATAAATTCCCGTGTACTAGCGCATCGGGCGGCCGTGGTTTCGCGAAGCTAGGCGAATAGCTCGCAAAACGTAGCTAGCTCTATACGCCGGTATCTTTCCTCTAATTTATTCCAGAGCTCGCGAGAGGTCTCTAGTCCCGCGACGTGCACACTGATATTAGGAGAGAGGTACCGGAAGATAATATAATAGGCCTCGGCTTCGCGCCTCGACTATTCTTTATAACGCTCGAAAGCTTAGACCTCCACTTCGAGGCGTGCTTCGATAGCCCTCTACCGCACCGCCCTATTAAGGTAGGGCTCCATAAGCAGAGTGATATCCGCTGTGATTAGCTTAGTATATTTAAACTAGCAATCTAGACGCTAGAGGTCGCCCAACACCACATCCCAGACCTGCCTGGCTTTCAAGTAGGAAGTCATGAGGCGCTTCCAGGTAGCGTAGTTATCGCTTCCTGTCAGAGGCTTAATAGCTGTGACGGCCCGGTCGGGGGAGTCCTAGACGAGAGCCGACATAATGTTGAGAAAGCAGGGTAATATATAATCACAAGTCAAGTCAAGAGAACTAAGGGTCTCGGTGTGAGTAGAGACGGCACCCGAGTGATTGCACTCGGGCTCATAACCTGTTGTAAGTTGCAAAAGGAAGCTTGATTGTTCTCATTTTAGAGGGCTATAGGGAGGCCATTTATACACCATGAAGTCCAAGTTGATTTCCAATCAACTTGGGACTTCGTATAGATAGTGCAGGAATTATTTCCGATGTTGTGGCTTCATTCCTGAGCAGCTACAGCCTCATATCACAAAATGGATAATTCGCTTTATACGCTCAACCTGGCTAGAATGCACTATCCCGGTTAACTTGCAGGCCTTTCGTGACCGATTCTCGCGTGCGTAGCGTATCTCTCGTAGGTAATTCGAGTTCTTGATATTACCCTGCAGCTCATCAACAAGATAGACGAACTTGGTTGTCGCGTTTGCTAATTTCTTGAGTAGGCGATGAGAGGGTGTTTGTTGCATACGAGAGATCTTATCTTCTAGCCGTTCCTCTAGCTTCTTCACACGCTCTGCAATCTTTGGTAAGATCTGATGAATCTTGGCTACCGACCGCTATTGTTGACGGCGGGCTTGGTGTATTAAAGCCGAAATCGACCTCATCGACCTCATCAACTAAGTTTTCGAGGACTGTCGTAGGATTGATTGGCGAGAGGCCAGTCAATCGAAATCCTCACTTGATTGTAGAAGGTTTGAAGGTCTTGTGCCGAATCTGCGCGATCGCACTGAGGAAATCATCCTTGGTAATCTTCTCATAGCCACTGACTGTAGCATCGTACACCCACTCACTGTGCCAGTGCTTATAAGCACTCAAAACACCAACATCAAGCGGTTGAAGTATATGGCTTGAATGAGGAGGTAAGAAGAAAAGAATAATCTGATGATCTTCACAGTACTTAACGAATTCGTATGTCAGATGCGAGCCGAATTGGTCGCAGATTAACATCCGAGATGTGCCCTTAGCCGAATCCCTGGTAAGCTTGTTGAATAGCTGTATCCACTGTAGGGCTAATACGTTATTAAGATAGCCAGTTTCGGTGACAGCAATCCTCTCATCGCCCACGATTTCAAACCAGCGTAGTAGTAGAAGCTTCGCGCTTAGGATTACTACTGGAGCGATCGTAGAACCAGTAGCTGAAACCGCTTCAATGACAGTCGCATATTCGCGATTATTACCAAAGCCGCCAGAAATCTGGCGCTTAGGCTCGCGGGTAATAATCCACTGATCTTTACCGACACCAATGTTGAAGCCGGTCTCATCAAAGTTCCAGATATCATCCGCGGTGATTCCGTACTGCGCGATCGTCGCTTGGTACGAATCGAACCAATCCTTCGCAACCTGCCTATCTAGGCACTTCTTCCTTTCGATATCCATAGCTCTCTGGCGACGAGACAGATACTCAGGGTGCCGGCGAAGGAAGCGTTGCAGCCAATGGCTACCGATCATAGGGGGTTTAGTCGAATCGTCAACATGGCAGCTAGCCAGGATTGCATTCGCAGCAGCAGCGATAGCCGGGCGCTTAGGCGGAAGATAGATCGAATCAAGGAAGTCGATATATCGGCAAAGAGCAGCGTCTTGCGATTCATCAAGCTTACGACCGTTCG